CTAGTCTATGTGTGGAAATTTCGGATGGAATCTTTCATACCTTGATTTTCTACATTCTATCCGAATAATGATTTATACATTTAATTGTTTCACTGTTGTTATAATTATCACTACTTTAATAATATAACCTACCACTTTTGTCAATAAAATCTTCTTTATGTTGATTTGGTATATGGTAATTTGAAATGATACAAACTTATGTTGCATTTTAATATAACTATTCCCTTACTTACTTACTTAATAACTTACGCCTATTACTCCCAATGGAGCATAGGCCGCCGACCAGCATTCTACAACCCACTCTGTCCTGGGCCTTCTTTTCTAGTTCCTTACAATTCTTGTTCATTTTTCTCATGTCTATCTCCATTTCCCGGCCTAATGTGTTTTTTGGTCTTCTTCTTTTCCTTTGGCCCTGAGGATTCCATGTGAGGGCTTCTCTTATGACGCAGTTGGGTGAGTTCCCCAATGTGTGTTCTATCCACTTCCAGCGCTTCTTCTTGATTTCTTCCTCCGCTGGTATCTGGTTTGTTCATTCCCACAGTTGGTTGTTGCTAATAGTGACCGACCAACGGGTCCGAATTATTTTGTGTAGATAACTGTTAATAAACACCTGTATTTTCTGGATGATGACTTTCGTAGTTCTCCAAGTTTCCGCCCCATACAGTAGAACTGTCTTGACATTTGTATTGATAATCCTGACCTTGGTGTTGTTTGAAAAATTATTCAACTATTCTCTACCTATATATTATTACTTTGAGTACACAAGTCACGACGGATGAGTGAAATCTGTATAAATATCAATATGGGGTTGTGAAGATTGGAAAGATTTTGGTTCAGATCATGAAACGATTGGTGTTTAACCACCCTTAAAAACCTGGAGGCAATAGAATGGCCGTATGGGACAAGTCAGCAGTATGCATCCAAGATCTCACACGTGAACCTTGAACCTAGGTTCTTCAGTCCCACGTGAGAACGCTTAAATTCTAGATCACTGAACAGGTAACCGAAGATGTTAATGTCTGACTTCAACCAATCCACAAAATTACGCGACCATCTTCCATCGTCTGAGATGGACACTTGTTTATCACCGGACATAGATTAGCTCCATTGATCACCAGAAATCCGAGGGAATTTTAATTTACAATTCAGACAGAGTTAATCATACAAGAACTAGTAAACAGATAGTATATATGATTACATGAGTTTACATGCCTATATATATATCACCAAATACTAACATCAATACAAAGTATATTGTAACAGTTGAGATCATGAGTCATTCGAAGCAAGATCACCATGGAAAACCTGGAAGCACTGGACAGTCGTTTCATCCTACTGTGGGACTCCAGCCTCAGAAGATTTGAACCCAGAATCTATTAGTCTCACGCGCGAACGCTTGACCACTAAACCATCGAGGAGTTCCACAGTAGGATAAAATGACCGTCCAGTACTTCCAAGTTTTCCATGATGGTCTAGCTTCAATTGACTCATGATCTCAACTATTGAAATTACTATAATACGCACCAAAAAACCCCTTCTGAAATAATATGTAAATATTTATCATTATAAAAGAAAAAAAGAAAGAAAACATGTTTCACAGTTGATTAGAAAATTTCCCTTTGTTGTGTCCTAGAAACAGTTAGAAATGGTAGTTCACTGTTTTATTTTCCTTTTTTGTTTATTCTTTGAATATTCACAATTTTTTTAAAATGTAGAATAACACAAACAATTGAGCAATAATGAGTGAGACCATAATTTACAGGCGACCTTTGAGAGATGCTAGACTGACCTTCATAGTGTCCACCTAATAAGTAGAACCACATGGGGGTTATAAACCAGTATGTGAGGAATTCGAATTATGATTTACAGTTGATGAATAAAGTTAGAAATTAAATTTAGGGTTTTCATCACAAGCTGACATCAACTTTGATGCCAAAAGATTTTTTAGCCAAATAGATGAATGAATTTTACGTCAAAATTCGAGACCTATTATCTTATACCTGATTGGTTCGTCTATAAATTATAGTCTCGCCCAATATTGTTTTCGATTACATCTTCATCAAGCTTTATTCTAAGATGCAGTAATGTATTTATTCACATATATGAAATCATTAAACCAATCAAAGTAGTTTATGAGTCAATGATGATAATAGTGGGATAGATTACATAAATAAGTGAAAAGTACAAATTGGTAGTGTGAAAATAAGTGTACAAGTTGTATAGTGCGATCGAACTCACCAATGATCAAATGAAATGCCCACCATCACATCAAGTTCCTTTGACCTTGTATGACTATATCTTGCTTTGAAAAGAGCAATGAATAAACATTCTAACAGAATAGCATGAATTCACTTTTTATTTTGTTTAGTTCTCATCAGCTGCTTACAACCTGTGATATTTAAGAATCATAATTAAATAGTCGGTTGAAATTACTTACATGAGACGGTTTGGTTGAAAGCTATATTGAAGACATATTCGTATAGAATAGCAAAGGTGTAAATAAATTGAATAGACTTAATATTGTAAATATATACATTATGTAACAGAACATTGTGACAAACAGTTCAAATGGTTAGAAACAAGTAAACATTGATAGGAATAAAATGAGTAGAGTTCAGTTGATAGTTGAAATAATACTCAATGATGTAATAAATGCAAAATAAATAAAAAAATTTAAAGATGCAGAGAAAGAATATTTGTCACCAGGGCAAGGAAAGATTAACAACCGTCTCCTTTTGAACACATCAATTAGGATTCTGGCGTCTTATAGCATCTGTTTCAGCAAACTACAGAAGACTGGGGTTTGGCTGCTTACTAATCACATTGAATGATTGTAGGGTATCGACCTGATGTCCTGTATTAAGGAGATGTTTGCTGATTGCACTACTTAGAGTCTTGATTCTCTTGTTCTGAGGCTTTTTGGAACATGTTCAAAAAATCTAAGATATGCCCTCCTTTCTGTTCGGCCAAAGTAGCTGCTTTGGCAGGTACACGTAAATTTATAAATACAATTGGCGGTAACATGAAAAGGATGCTTATCAACCTTTGATTGAGTTATTGAACATGTTGTTTTATACAGAATTTGAAGTTTGGCCGCCTGATAAGTTCTGGCTAGCGCAATATTCAATCTCCTGTTGATTGCATTTGCAACATCATCACCTTTGAAGTTAAGATTTATAGTAATTTTTTTATTGACCATAATTACTTCAGTATGTTTTTTTTTTACGCTTTTATATTGGTCAATAAACTTTAGTGGGTAAAAGTTGTCTCGTAGGCATTTTTCTACGTTCATTAATTCTTCTTCCGGTCTGCCGGTGCTACATGTTTTTCTGCCCTGTAAAATAGTGTTTTAACCAACGCCTTCTTGTAATTAATTGAACAAAAACTATTGAAATACAGGTAGAGGACATTCCAATTACTTTTTCTATAAAGCGAACGTTAGACTGTCTCGTCTGTCCTACGTTTTATAGCAACATCAAGAAAGTGGAACGTGTCATTCTGTTGGTGTTCCATAGTAAATTATATGTTAGTATGAGCGTTATTAAAACGTTTTAGCAGGCGGATTGTATGCTGTTTATTGTTATAGATAATAAATGTGTCGTTCATATACCTGGAATATTCTGTCATTTAGCTAATCGCCTGTTTAAGCACCATGTTTTAAAGATACCCCATAAAAATATCTGCCAGAATTGGACCTAGTGGGCTTCCCATTGCTACGCCGTTGATTTGACGATATATGGTGTTATGTGTGTATTGGCTTGATGAAGAACTTTTCCTACACGCACTTCTACTGTTACAACAAAACGTCAAGGAAATGTAGTTTATTATCTAGTTCCACTTCATATGTAAATTTAATCCCTGGATGTTTGTTGTTAAATATTTTAAATATAGTTCTTATTTTCCACTGTTCTGATCGACAATAATGAAAGTATCATCAACGTAACGACAATATAAGTCAAGCTTATCAATAACATCTTTGACAGTTCCGTTTTCTAGTTTCTGAAGGATAGGACCTAGAGGTGAACCCATAGCAATACCATCAATTTATCTATAATATGTGTTATTAAAGACGAAATAGACATTCATTGTACATTTCAGAAGTAATTCTTTGAGACAAACCTCGAGAATTCCATGATTGATAAAAAACCCAAGTGCATATAAACTTCACCCCATTGCACAAGCAAGTGGTTATCAGGACATAGTAATTAAGTGGATAAAGAGATGGCCTCTGAAACGGATGCTACGTCGTTCGAGTCCAAGGGGGAATATCAACTCTGAGATTCAGGTACATCCAGTTGATGAATTCTAACTAGGGTGAAACGCGCATCGTGGATTCCACTTTTAGCCACTATCCATTATAACATGTATGTATATCTAAAAGAAAATTTCTTTATCATATTTTATTAAATAAATCACGGAAATTATCAATGTAAAGTTCCTTTAAAGTTTTCGTTTGGGATCATCAACCAATTAGTGTTAGTTCGCCGTTGAAAACTTCGAAGCACTGTGCGACCGTTTTTTTCTATTGTGGGGGTTCCTCAGCATTGAGCATCAACGATCCCGCTCGCTGAGGAGTCTCACAATAGGACAAAACGGCCGTCCAGTGCTTCGAAATTTTCAACGGTGGTCTAACATCAATCGGTTCATGATCTAAATTAAAAACTTAAGAATCTCTATAACCCCTATACTGATAATATCATTAAAGTAATGAATCCATCTTATGTATATTCATTAAGAATTTCGTATAATTACTAAGTATTCCGTTATTATTAAAGTGTATAATGTATAACCTCAATTGACCGCTCACTTTATCCATTGATAGTTTATTGTTCCTATGTAAGATTGACATTCATCTTCTCCTTTTTCCTATTCTCTTTTTTCTTTTCTTTCTGTAAACTTTTCTCAATTTTCTGATAACGAATAGCAATCATTTATAAATATAAACAAAACAATTCATAAGGAAATTGTTTTATGAATGTCACAGTTAACTTTTCTCCAAACTAAAATAATGGAAAGAAAGAAGAAGAAAAAGAAGAAGAAGAAGAAGAAGAAGAAGAAGAAGAAGATGATGATGATGATGATGATGATGATGATGATGATGATGATGATGATGATGATGATGATGATGATGATGATGATGATGATGATGATGATGATGATGATGATGATGATGATGATGATGATGATGATGATGATGATGATGATGATGATGATGATGATGATGATGATGATGATGATGATGATGATGATGATGATGATGATGATGATGATGATGATGATGATGATGATGATGATGATGATGATGATGATGATGATGATGATGATGATGATGATGATGATGATGATGATGATGATGATGATGATGATGATGATGGAGTGCAGACTCTTCCTACTCTCGACCATACCAGGGCATTTTGGGGCATCTGAGATGCAAGCGTATCAATATCAAAGTAGGATCATAGAAGAACAACGATACCATAGATTTCAAAATCACTTGAAATAGTCATCATATGTAAACATAATTGGTTTGACATTTAAATACGATATTAAACATTATGTAAATGATTGATTGAAACAGTGTAGTGAATTGAAATAATTCTTGTCATTCTGTTACAAGCAATTTTCTAATAATGATATACAATAAAAACTTTATATATGAAACCAGTCTCTTAGAAACAGACTGTAAATATCATTATTGAGGTATTAAACAACAACAATAACGATAATAAGCCATTATCACTACATACTTATGATTTGTTTGTCTCCTGGTATATATGGATTTTTATTATCAGAATGTGTTTTGTGGAGATTTTTAGAAATTTTCACAGATTGAAATCATGAGTCAGTTGAAGCTAGACCACCATTGAAAACCTGGAAGCACTGGACGGCCGGTTCGTCCTGGTATGGGACTCCTCAGCAGTGCGCATCCACGAACCCGCACCATCCGGGGCTCGAACTCAGGACCTACTGGCTTCGCGCGCGAGCACTTAACGGTGTACGGTAGCGCAACTTCGTGGATTGGTTGAAGTTAGACATTAACACCGTTGGATGCCGGCTCAGTGGTCTAATGGTTAAGTGCTCGCGCGCGAAGCCAGTAGGTCCTGAGTTGGAGCCCCGGATGGTGCGGGTTCGTGGATGCGCACTGCTGAGGAGTCCCATGCCAGGACGAAACGGCCGTCCAGTGCTTCCAGGTTTTCAATGGTGGTCTAGCTTCAACTGACTTATGATTTCAATCTGTGAAAATATATGGATTTGATCATCTATATCTAAATCAATTGACTAGATTGAGTAGTTGATTATTATTATAGTCTACTTTCAATAGTTACGATAACATGCTACATGTAAGTCATGTATAAGTAAAGCAAAATTTCATCGACTATCATATTGTTTAACTTTAAACTGCAGTAGATATGAAGATCTTTGTTATTGTTGACGTATAATAGTTTCGTTGTCAATGAACATCCAATCATCTCATTGGAAAACTTCACTGTTTATGAATGAAAATAATAAATTAGAAAACAAGATAAAATAAAGATTATGTAAATCATATCATACTGGATAATAAATCAATATTGCGAGGTAATAAAAGATGGGGAAAAAGACGTTTTTAAACATAGAAAGGGTATTTGAGTCTTCATATGGTTAAAGCTTTGATAAGTCTTAGTAGTTGCCTTTGAGTATTCCTATACATAATTTGGCTTGATATTAACTCTACAGTCAGTTTCAATAAACGGCGAGACTCTAATTTATGGACGACGTTTGAACGAGTCTTAAGTGACCTTGAGAAATATTAGCCAATCAGCAAACAGTCAGTATAGGGTAAAATGATGTTATACAAAACCAAGGAAATAAAGTGTATTCACTTCTTATACGTAGTTCAAAAACTTGTCAAGGTTATAAAGAGGTTCAGAGGTTCTAAAGTCGTAATGCATGCAGTAGAGGAAATCATTCACTCGGTTACAGAATAGTCGGCCTCTGTAGCCATGATAAAGTCTCAAAATCTCTTTCAGCCCCGACCACATAGCTTCAATATTGTTTATGTGCACTCCGGTTGTTCAGTGCACAAAATGCTACTTGGGGATAACGACACGATGCACACAACCAAGCCTATGTAGGAGTCTGTACGCTCTCCAAACATCCGTATATATTGTAGTATCTGGCTGCAGCCAGTGTTACTGGTGCTTTTATTATCCAGTCCTAATTTACCTTGGTTAGGAATTATATATATAGGGTTTTCATCACGAACTGACATAAGCTATAATGCTAAAAATCTGTTTAGTCAAATGGATGAAAGGCTTTCGCGTTAAAATCCGAGATCTGTTATCTTATACTTGATTGATTCGTCCACAAATTATAGTCTCGCCGTTTTATTTGTTATAGCCTCTCAGTTATCACGTTTTGTACAAAATTCCCTGTGAACCGAACGTACGTTAGTATTAAGCACTGAAGTTGGCGCCGTAACCTTGAAATCTCGCCTCTGATTGGCTTGTCCATAAATTAGAGTCTCGCCCAATAAACTACTCTTCAATACAGTAAGATATTGTTTTGATTAGACTATTATAAGTCTTATCTTTGTAGTTCTGATGAACTCTATCTTTTTGTTGCATTATCGAAGTTGACCAAAAGGAAGTATTTTTTTTTTCAACTTATTGTTTCTGATTCATAGCTTGAGAAAATTTTGTAACTATCATTTACTTCTCTCTCACTCCAATATGATAGAGCTTCGTATTATTGTTTTTACTCATCCTTCAACTGGCATGAATTTATAGTAACTATCCTACAATCAATTTTGATTATGGTTAACATTGGTTAAACCGTTTTAATAACTTACTTAATAGACAATGTTATTTGGATAGTAACAATTTGCATACTTTTTGTACCGTTATGATCACTAGAGAGTACATGACAGACTCTAGCTAAAATGTTGATTGCTTAAATATCAGTCGATGATTCATCATCATCCTCCCCATGTATGTATGTACTCAAATCATCGTATTAGCTTTTGCTTTGCCTTATTGAGTCCTTATGCACTTTGACTATAAATTTGTCTATGTAATTACTTGCATATACATATTCGCCTCTCAGTTTCGAATTCGCTCGATGTGATTGTAGCTTTGTGATCTCTGTACCATCCCCGAATAAACTTTAGTTGCTGGACCCATTCCGTCTATTCTATAATAATCTACTAACCTCTCAGACATTTTGATGAATATTGACAGCCACAACGATGTCTCTGATTGTGCTTCTCTGTAGACTAATTGAAAACTAAAGAATTAAATTTTTGATTGAAATCATGAACCAATTGATGTCAGACAACCGTTGGGAACTCGGAAGCACTGGACGGCTGTTTCATCTTAGTATGGGACTGCTCAGCAGTGCGCACCCACGATCCCGATCGTAGGATTCGAACCCAGGGCCTTCAGTCTTGCACGCGAACGCTTAACCTACTAGATCACTGAGCTGGTATCCAATTGTGATAGTGTCTAACATCAGTCAATTCACAAAATTGCGCGACCACCTCCTATTGTACTGAGGTAGATACCTGTTTCTACCCGACACGGATTAGCTCCACTGGTCACGGCTTCTTACTAGAACTCCGAGAATTCCCTCACGAAGCTAATCACTAGTGAACTCATGTTAATTATCAGTATTAAATACGGACCAAGAAGTACATATGTTGATTGTTACATAATTTTGATGGAGTTTTGTTCTCTGAGCTAAATGATCATTTGATCGTGAAACTTTTATCATTCTTCTGAATAATATCATCAAGAAAATCTTCAGATATAATTGAACTATTCGAATTTCTCCATATATATAGTTCACAGCTTATTCTGTAAACCCTAATGTTCATTCATCACCTTGTTGATCTTATAAACCATAATCAAACTACTCAGTTGACAGAACGAAATTTCATTCAAATCATTAATCTGAACCATAAATCATCTCTATCATCAGTTACTTAATATCAGAACCTGATATCTATCTATCTATCTATCTATCTATCTATCTATCTATCTATCTATCTATCTATCTATCTATCTATCTATCTATCTATCTATCTATCTATCTATCTATCTATCTATCTATCTATCTATCTATCTATCTATCTATCTATCTATCTATCTATCTATCTATCTATCTATCTATCTATCTATCTATCTATCTATCTATCTATCTATCTATCTATCTATCTATCTATCTATCTATCTATCTATCTATCTATCTATCTATCTATCTATCTATCTATCTATCTATCTATCTATCTATCTATCTATCTATCTATCTATCTATCTATCTATCTATCTATCTATCTATCTATCTATCTATCTATCTATCTATCTATCTATCTATCTATCTATCTATCTATCTATCTATCTATCTATCTATCTATCTATCTATCTATCTATCTATCTATCTATCTATCTATCTATCTATCTATCTATCTATCTATCTATCTATCTATCTATCTATCTATCTATCTATCTATCTATCTATCTATCTATCTATCTATCTATCTATCTATCTATCTATCTATCTATCTATCTATCTATCTATCTATCTATCTATCTATCTATCTATCTATCTATCTATCTATCTATCTATCTATCTATCTATCTATCTATAAATATATATATATATATACATATAATAACGTAATAAATGAAATATATATCGGCATAAGTGTATTCTTCTTTCATTAAGAGGTTAGAATAACTTGACTTGTTTTCAATACAATCACTTGATTTACTTCAAACAGATGATTCCTTTGAAAAAAATGAAAAAAAAGATGAACAATCAATCAATATATCTTTTTAAAAGTTTTGTTTCCAAGTGTATTTATATTGTGTATCCAAGAGATTAGAATAGTTTAAATCTAATTAGTAACAAGTGGTTTCAGGTCATTGATTAAATTAGAATTAAATTTAAATATCTTAGATTAAGTTTTCTTTTCTATTTTAAAATTTTAATTGTTTATTTTTATTAAATGAAACTTTCTTTAGTATTTATTCATTAAATATTCAGAATGGTTGTGAATCAACAACTTTACCATATATGAGAATTGAATTCATGAGTTAATCGAAACTAGACCATTATGAAAAACCTGAAAGCACTGGACAAGCTTTTCATTCTAGTATGGGACTTCTCAGCAGTGAGCATCCAATATAATGCTTCCCGAGATTTCAAACCAGGACCGATCAGTGTCGCGCAAACTGAGCCGGTCAGCCTGCATCGAACAACGTTATTGTCTAATTTCAACCAATCCACAAAATTGAGCGACATATTCGCCATTGTCTTCAGTGAGTTACTATCTTACAACAGATACGGTTGAACTCCAATGATCACAGCATTTCACTAGAACTCCAGGAAGTTCCTCTTATAGACAGTCACTAGTGAGCATATGATGATTATAAACAGAAAA